ACGCCTCCGTCTGCACCTACAGAAGGCGTTGTGTATCTTTTTTGTCTTTTAGTGTCATATCACTATCACTGGTGGGCTACCGCTTCCCAGACTGGGCCGTCACTTTGAGGTGATACCTGTCTGCAGTGCTACCCTGACCTTAATAGTCACATGGACGTTTTAGTACTACAACCGGATGTAGGGTACCCCAATATTATTCAATGTGACCCGTTGTAGCGCCCATTTACAGCATTCCGATGGCCCTCTCTCGCTCTGCTGAAGTTAATCTCGCCATTTAAAAGTGTTTTTCTGTTGAAGTACGATCTGCTCTGTACTGTGAGGTGGTTTTATATCATGCATGCACGTGCATTTTACCTTTACTTGCAAAACACGTGCATTTTGCTGCTTTCGATGCAAAGTTGTCAAGAGGTGCGTTTAAGTGCTGCTGTTCGTCAGAAACGACCTCTTGTTGTTGGCAATAACTATGGGGCAATTTCCATTTGATTATATTTTCTTATGTTAATATTATGAAAGATTTTGCAACAGAAAGTTTCTTTTGCCAATCAGTATAGTATGGCCAATGCGGCAGCGTCGCATAATGACCTCCTTAAACCTGGACTGACAACCCAAGTAGGTGTAACCGATAGTTGGCTTTATTTGATGTAATTTATTTATACCTACTTGGGTGTCCCACTTCTTTTGCATAACATCACGGATGTACGATCTAATGCTAGCTTTGTAATCAGAGTATGAAATGAGAAGTGTTGTCACAGATTTGTTGAGTGCAAAATCAGCCATTGTAGTACCAGAAATGCCAACGTGGCTGGGTCACCAACAAAAGACGATGTCGTATTGGCCAGTTGCAAGTTCATTATATAAATCAATAATTTCTGTTAAAAGTGGATGTTTGCAACATAAGTTTTTTAATAGACTGAAGGCAAGAAAGAGAATCAGGAAAAATTAGCTCTTAATATATTTAAGAGCTGTTAATATGGCGTTTACTTCTGCTGTGAAAATAGAGCTGTGATCCCGTATTCCAGAAGATATTGTTCTCGATTCAGAGACAGTGGCACAAGCAACTGCACCACCATCTTTGGATCCATCTGTAAATAAGGATTTGTATGTATAATATTTACTTTTTAGATGAATATGGTCTTGTTTGTATTGTAAGCCATGGTCCCTGGCATGGTGATCTACCTTCAGTTGCTGGCAATCTATAGCCCGATTTTATATTGTATTGTATTGAAATGATTAAACATTTTACACTGAACTCAAACTAGTTTTAATAAATTTGTGATAATCTAGTCGTTATACTGTCCTTCGCTGACAGGTTTTTACAAATGTACACATATATTTATTCTTAGTCTATAACTTTTTGTCGTCACGATATGGCTGAAATATTGCCGATGTGGCGTAAACTTTTAACTCACTCACTCACTCACTCATTTACTCACTCACTTGTATTGTAAATCAGTGTCTGATTTTTTAAACGTTGTCAGTGTTATTCCAACTTGTGGCCTCACTTTAATTGCCAAGGAGTAGAAGACAGAAGGCGGGAAGGAGCTATATTTTCCAGCTCAATGCCGGCAGCAGGAATGAATGTTTTAATCTTAGCCCAAGAGAAGACTTTTCGTTGTACAAATCCCCATAAAGAGGATTAAAAACACAGTTAAATGCAGGGTTAAACTCGTTAGAACATAGTTTGGTAATATGTTATACAGATAATTTTATACGTGCAAGAGATGACTCATCTGCCTCGACGTAAAGACTGTGAACAGAAGTTCTAAAAGATCCAAGGCAAAGTCTTAAACCTTGGTGGTGGACAGAATCTAATAGTTTTATGTTGCTTTTGCAGGCTCCACCATATACGATGGAGCCATAATCAAGTTTGGAACGGACCAATGATCCATATATACTGAAAGGCAAAAGAAACGTCGTAATATTCGAAATGACATTTAAGTATCAATGGAACATTTGAACCTATTTTTTTTAAATAATACGCCACTGAAATGCAGTACCGACTTTCATCAGAGAAGATAACCCCTCTCCATTGTCCCCCACGACAGTTTTGCCGCTGTTGTGTCCACTTGGATACGTTCCCGGCGGTGACGTTGGGTGAATATGGGTCTCCTGGCAGGACATCGACAAAACAGGTTCCTGGCTTGGAGACGTCGCCGAATGGTAGGTCACTGACTGGTCGCTGGTGGTTTCCTATGGTCACCCAAGCTGTTTCTCTGGCCCTTGCGAATAGGTCTTGCACGTGTTGATGGACGATATGACGGTCCTGGCGACGTGTTGTTACACGGGGTTGACCACTACGTGGACGGTCATCAGTGCTGCTGGTGGCGTTGTATCGCACTCTAAGACGTTCTATCGTTCGTACGCTGCAACTGAAGTCATTAGCAATGACTCGAGCATGTTGACCAGCGTGCAGACGTCCAATTGCTTGTTGTGGTTGATCTCTCGTTAACCTAGTCATAGCTGCTGTGTTCAGAAAACAAGTGAACGATTGCCATTCAAGCCGGCAATTTATGCCAGAATGCATTTATGATGCACGTGCATCTCGATTTCAATGTTGTGTTTGTGGGAACTTTTCCCTCTCCAAAAAACAAAAACATTTCTAACTTCAATCTCAAACAATACTTTATTGGGCGATGCAGGCTATACGACCACGATTCATGTTTCCTCAAACTTGACTTCTGGTGTATATTTAAAAAAATAGGTTCAAATACTCCATTGATACTCAAATGCCATTTCTAATATTACGACGTTTCTTTTGCCTTTCAGTATAGTTGTAGGAGGGTAGCTTGATCCCCTCTTTGAGTTAGAAACGACTTTCAACAAGTCAAGTGCCTTCAGGCATGTATTTTTTAGGTATTTGATATGTGGCAGAAACGTTAAATGGAAGTAAAAAATTAGACCCAAGAACTTAGCCTCCTTAACAACTTTGATGGGAGAGCTATTTAAAAATAGTTCTGGGTCGTTATGTGGTTTGTATTTACGGCAGAAATGTATACAATTAGTTTTCGATTTAGAAAATGTTTAAGCCGTTTTCAAGACACCATTTATGTTTTTTCTTTAAACACAACTGCAGTTGCCGTTCAATAGTATGCATATTTGTACCACGACATCGATCCATCGATTGAATCATTAAAAAGCTTTGATAAACTGTTGATCTTAATACTAAACAATGTGACAGACAAAATACTGCCTTGTGGGACACCCTGATTCTGATTATAATGATCAGACAGGGTAGAACCCACGCGTACTTGAAATTGCCTGTCAGTTCAAAACTCAGATATAAACTGAGGCAAACGGCCCCGTAAACCAACATCAGGCATATCTTTCAAAATGCTGTACTTCCATGTCGTGTCATAAGATTTTTTCTAAATCGAAAAAGATTGACACTGCATGTTGCTTGTTAATAATGGCATTCTTAACGAATGACTCCAATCGAACTAAATGGTCAATGGTCCTGCGATTTTTACGAAAACCACATTGAATATTTGTGATTAAATTATTTGACTCTAAGTACCAAGTTAATCTGTTATTGACCATGCGTTCCATGGTTTTTCAAACGCAGCTAGTAAAAAAATGGGCCTATAATTAGAGGGATCTGTATGATCACGTCCAGGTTTAGGTAAGAGTACAATGGCATCACGCCAGGATGAAGGAAATTTACGAGATGTCCAAATGTCATAAAAAATATTCTTTAGTGTCTCTAAACACTCTTCCGGTAAGTGTTTCAGACGTTGATCATGAATAGAAAAGGTTTCATTATAATAATCTTCCCCATTATCCGAATAAAAAGTAATTTTGTTGTTATTCTGCTGTTTTGGGTATTTTTGAAATTTAGGAACATAGTTAGACGAGGAAAAATGTTTTTCAAGTATTTGAGATATCAGATGTATCTGTTAACACCTGATCGTCAGTTTTGAGATGATGTATGCTTGATTTGGTACCATTACCTTTAATTCCCTGGATCATGTTCCATTCCTTGGACATCGGCGTCGGTGAATATATTTTTGAAACATATTTTTGCCAAGACTGGCGTTTATTTTGCTTAAATGTACGCCGTGCTTTAGCATTTAAAATTGTATATTTATTTAAATTATGCACCATTGGGTGGCTACGGAAAGAGAGTTTGCCTTTTTTTCCGTGCCTTCCTGGCTTGTTTGCATTCACTATTAAACCATGGTGTACGTATATGCGGATTTGCAGAGGACTTAGGAATACATCCATCGGCTATTTGGTTTAATTCATTAGAGAATAATTGCACTGAATCAGGAACATCAATAAAGGTTAGGTGAAATTGGGTTTAACGTCGTGCTTGAGAATATTTCGCTCATATGACGACGTGCATTCGTGTGTATGTGTATGTGCGGCTGCTTGTACTAGCCCAGACTTCAGCTGGTTTTATAGTGCTAGCCCACTGACAAACCATGCCGCAGTGAAGCATGAATACCCCACTCAGACACATTAAACTGACTCCGAGCCGACCAGTCCTTGTTGTACCCATTAATGCCGAGCGCCAGGCAGGGACCAACAAGTACCATATTTTAACGTCTTTTGGTATGACGCGGTCGGGGATCGAACCCGCGACCTTCCACTCTCCAGGCGGACGCTCTAACCAGGAACATCAATAAAACGATCAGGAGTTAAGGTGTCCGTACATAGTAACTTGAACAAAGGCCAGTTAGCTTTGTTGAAGTTCCATCTTGATGATGGAGGAACGTAAGCCGGAGATTGTTTGAAGAATGGTCGGAAAATGATCACTGCCACACATATCACTGCCACACTGTGGACCGACCATTCAAATTCATTTAACAGACCTGTATCAGTGAGAGATAAATCTAGACAAGAGTATGTATCTGTACCAGTATGTAAGTATGTTTTCGAATTATCATTGAAGATACACAGCTCGTTGTTAGAAATACCATCTTCCAGTATCATCCCATTTCTGTTCGTATCAGAAATACCCCAAAGTGGATTATGACCGTTTAAATCACCCATAATTATACATGGCTGGTAAGCTGGTCATAGAGAGTCTGAAGATGTGTTTGGTGAAGAGAAGAAGATGGTGGTACATACAGTGAGCGTGATGTGAAAACAATGTTTAGAGTCAGTCTGACAGCAACAGCTTGAAGACATGTATTTAGGGGAACAGGACTATGTACAACATACCGTCTCACCAAAACGGAAGAAAACCCAGTAGCTCTAGGCCCTGGAGGAGAAAAGTAGTTATATTAACTATATTGTCTTGCATCAAATTGATCTGTATTTTTAAGATAGGTTTCCTGTAAACAAAATGCCGATGATTTTAAATATTGAATCAGTAACTTTAAATCATTGAGCTGTTCATGGTATGGAGGCTCAATGAGAGATCGTATATTGGAGTGGGGCCTTCTCCCATGGCTAGGGAGCAAAGGATTGACCTCCATCTCCAACCTTTACTGGAGGTGACTGAGAGGAAGGCACCTCCAAATGCTGGAGGGTTCTGGTCCTTTTTGACTGCTTTTTCTCTTTTAAAGTATCCAGCCTTTATACACTTCGGAAGAGCCGAAAGTGCAAATGTAAACAGGTAAGTATTAAGTTTAAGAATACTGCCATCATCTCTCTTTTTGGTAAATCGATTTACAGCGATCACCCCTTGATGTTTCAGCTCAGCTGCAATGTCTTCCTCACTCATGTCAGAAAGACAATGAGCCCTGTCTCTGACTATACCTCTGCAGGAGTTCAAAGTTCTGTGTACAGAGACAGCAACGGGTGTATTGACGACCTGCTTTAATTTTAACAGATTATCCGATTGTTGTCTCCGTACACATTCAACTAACAATAAGCCGTTCCGGAGACGTGTTACGTCCTTTTACCTCCCCATAGACACCTTGAATGCCCTTTGAAATAGCGAATGGGCTCAGTTTCAAAGGATTTTCATCTGTAGATGAGATCACAATGAATCTCGGCCATGATTAAACTATGTCAGGAGATCATTCATCTGATGATGTAGAAACCACATGTCTACGTTTGTGTTTTGAATGGATTGAATGGAAAAAGCAATGGCGTATCAAAAGTGTTCAACATCCCTGCTCTCCATCCGCCATGGAGTGTCAACAAGGACGGTGTTAGAGCGGAAGCCAGGCTGTTCCACCAGGGCTACAGGGATGTTTTACTCCAGCAAGTAAAAATAAATAGCTGTAGAATCTGAAAGAAGAAATGTCAGATTGGTTCGCCCGTGACATCACTCTAGAGAAACACAGAATTCAGCGGTTTTTATTGCCAGATTGGCCCATGAGCCACCGTCTTCTTTCATAGGACTCTAGGCATATCAATCTTTTAGTAATTTATACACTGTAATTCAAAAGAGCTATTAGCGTTACCCAGCACCCACCACGAGGAGGTTATTATTCAAGATTGCCTATATCAGTTAGTTCTACAATACAATCTCATTGTTTCAGGTGTCACAGAACTACTCAATCAATCGGGTAAATAAGCAAAACATATCTAAAGACATATGCGTACGGTTTATCCAACTTTACTACATGCTGAGTCACATCACTGGTTTTAATGCACTTTGTCAGTTTGGGAATTGGCCTTCGATGTTGCCTGTCAACGCGTAACAACTTGACTACACTGCAGCGAACGAAGATATCGATATGTGGATCTGGCGTTGGTTGGTTTAATACCAATGACAATTTGTGTTTTACGTTTCAAACATTCCATTTATTTTGTGGTCGCAACATATAACAAGTTGAATTAGAACTGAAAGGCGAAATATCTCTTTCTCGAAATTATTACAGAAGTTCAATTTAGCTTCAAACACAACTATAATAAACAACAAGCTCGACAAATGAGTCACAGCATATTTGATAGTGTGGTAAACACGATGTTCCTTTGTATATACCTGTCTGTTTGGCTCTGTATTGTGTCTGTAACTTTCAGTTCTGATGCCTTTAATCTGCACGTCGCTCTATAGTTCACAAAGGGAAGAAATCCTCACACTACACAACAGGTTCCGGCACGACATCGCCACTGGAAGACGTGGACCTAACATTTCCAACATGAATGAACTGGTGAGATGACCTATATGCTCATTTTGTTATGAAAAGACCACTATCATATTGTGAATATTTTTGTTTTGTAACCCCCTAAAACAGATGGTATCTAGGTAACTGTTACAATTGGCTAAGGTAAATACGTAAATCGCCGTTAAATAACCATTTTGTGGTATATATCCGTAACCATGTAAAACAGCCCATGCTATATAACTTTACAATTACGTGCCGTCCATAGCTACTGAAGCATTTTCTTCATTGTGGAATACATTTTGAAATATGACCTCCGTTCGTGATACTACGGCAGCACACAATGCCCTTAACAATGGGCAGTATGACTAAATAATAAATCGTAACCCTGGTACTTTGATTTTTAACATGAGCTTATCAGCATATTCTCACCTATATTCTGACCCAAACCTTTCTATCTTCAAATTCCAAATCCGTGTTTTGATATACCGCTAACATAAATCTTTGCTGTTGAAATCAGTATGAAGACAGAAGTAGGAGGTATTAGTTGATACTGCTGGTTTATAATTGAAGGTATGGAGTCAGACTTTGGAACAAACTGCTGAAAGTCTGTTGACGTGCTCAAGAAACGTTGTACACAATGATGACAACTTCCTCATGCCAATGATTAACTATGGAAGGTATAGGATGTTAAACATCACCAAGATATTGAGATTCTGGCATCGGGAAAGCAGACATTATGTTCCAGAAGCTGCAGACTGTATACCCTGGGACAGTTGCAACAGGTACCGCGCGGTGAGTGGACAACAACACTTCTTTAACATTGCAGGACCAAATGATGTCAGATTTGATGATGTAATGTTCTCATTTGGAGTTCTAAGTTTAGTATTTCCTGCCATGTCCTACTCAATTGTTTTACATATGTCAAAATACTTCTTGTTGATTCAATGTCTAATTCTGACGTACTGTAATATGTATCACACAGGCTCACACACACACACACACACACGCACGCACGCACGGATATAAGGAAAGTGTGACGAAAATCATATCGCAAATGCACACTTTCATTTTGTATACTCACTGACTGTTTCATTGATTCCGCAAATTGAAAATGCCTAATATTCCACTCGTGAATGAATCGTTTGTTTACCGAAGCCATTTGCAATCATCACTCATTTGTGTGCCCACAAAATGTGAAGTGGATTACGTAGTCGTTTACAATATATTACTATGTACGGCAGCCCATTGCAGTAAGTATTGACACCAAGGAAAGCAGACGACGATACGTGATCAGGTTGGTGCTAACGGTATCTTTTTTACTTGACATTTTGTTAAAATAATATTTGGTATTGGTGGCATTAGTGATCTTGGGCTCTTTATCTCAGTCCTTGACAGCTAGATTTAGTGTATTTACGTGTAATGCAGACATACTGAACATTTTTGTCAGCGAGGCGTGGCATTGTAAGTACATCAAAAGTACCGCTTCGTGACGTCATACGAGACTTAATTTACGAGATAGCATGATAATTACCGCGAATCAAGGTTATCCACGAATTTAGGTTACGGTTCTGTACATGCTTATATATGATGAGTGACAAATTTTCTCATTTAGTGATTGTTTCTGATGACAGCGTTACCAGCGTAATGAAGAATCATAATATTGCATAACTGTATAGTTCCCATTCTTATGACGAGGAATGGTGCCATTTGTTGACGTGTTTATTAGCGTTATTATTGCCAACACATTAGTTGGTGTCTAGGAAATCGGTTCGCGTTCGCATGCACTCGTATCCCTGCCGCTATCCAGTTCCTTGGATGCCTATTAAAGGATTTGGAATTGATGTTAATGTAAACCAAGAGAGCACGGAAGTGGTTGCTGGCCGATTTAAGAGTCCCCTGCTTGATCGATAACAAGGACATGCCCTTAGCGGAAATTTGCGTTCATGAGGGACCTCGTCCTAACGCCAAAAGCTCGATATAAAACATTTCTCGACAACATCCCATCCTATTTCATGTATTTCTAGCACAAGTCCCTAAATGAAAAAGTTCCTAGAAATAATTCAGAACAGGATCAATATGTGTTGGCACCTCAGCTTAAGGTACTTTCTGTCTTACACAATGGCTATTCTGCTATCTATAATTTATGGTAGTGTTTTGAAAACACGTAGAGTACGTTACCGTAACCCGTGAACAAATGGTGATGGCGACTCACATATACACTAATCACTTTCTTCGAGGTGTAGATATTCATCTTTTATGTTATTGTGCTGTGGTGGGCAATGCTGCGACGCCTCAAACAATAATGTAGATGTTATTGCCTTCAGTATAGCAAGTATCGAGGAACATATCCACATTGCAGTGACTTTAGTTAATTACAATGATTAGCGAATAAATACTTTGTCATGCCGCAGTTGTCATAACTTGACGTCCCAGTCCATTCCTTGTCACCCAGTTCAGTATGACCACACCGCATACAGTGGCAGAGAAGTCACCAGTGTAATGAAAAAAAGTAGACATCTACAATAACACAGGATGTGACGTTTACATTCAATACGCTACTAGCAAGTTGTAATTAACTGTCGCCATTGCTTCCATCTAGCTCCAGTATATTGACATACTTAACCTGAACTCGCAGTTCTGACGAAGCCTGTACAATATAACATTAACAGTTACACAACATACAGTTGACATTCCTTTGTAACTGCCCTTGACGTCCGACCGATGACACGCCTCAACAACAATTGGCCTGCTTGATTGAAGGAGTCGACACATACGTGGCATAGGTTGTATTCCAATTCCAATTCCTTTATTCTCGTTCAACCAACATCGGTGGTACAAGAGAAGACAATACATACAAGTTATGCATACAAAAAACAATGACGTACTTTAAGATATTGAGTCTATGGCAGTTAGGTAGTTGATTGCTGAACGCATCAGATAGTTCTATCACAAAGGACAATGCAGAACGTGATTCTTTAAACTGATACGATAAATTGAAAGTTAGACACTTGTATGCAGTGTCAGTATAGATAAATGTAAACAGAATCAGTGTTACAAAAAGGTTTGAAGTAGTGGTTATTTTGACCACCAAATTTGTTACGTTTTTGAACATATGTTGGTGACGTAGTGCAATAATCCTTAATGACCATATTTCTATTCCGTGTATTGTAGATGGTGGGAGCGGATCGGGAGAGAGTTGGGTGCAGCTTGAAGCACTGTCCGCGGCGTCAATCACAGACTGTCTACGTTCTTATGTGCTTATATGAAGGGGGGTAAGTGTACATATCAAACTTCCATTAGTGCAAACTAGGAACGTGTAAAGTAGGTTTCAAATGCCTAAAGTACTGTCGGAAATGCTGGAAAAATGCTTTTTGACTTATATTTAAAATTCAGAGGTATTACAGTTACTTAAATAACAAATATCACTTCAAGAAACATCTACCTAATGTAGACCGGGGGGAATAAATTTAGAGACATGCTCTAAACTGTGTTTTTACTGATGAAAATACCAAAAACTTAGAAAAATAAGGGGTAGTTGGACGTTATTTGAAACAAACATTAACTGCCTGTGTTACGTCATCAGCATGCACGGTATCGACAGGTGAAATTGACACCTGAGCACACGCTCGGGCGAGGGGTCATCTCAATAGATGTTTTCTGCAAAATGTTGAATATGTGTACGTATAGTATACGCATCAGTTATGTAAGGGATCATTTGTGTATGTGTGTTTGTTGTGACATAAACATACGAATTACTGTACATTGGAAAGAATCCTATCACTTGTGGTATCTTATCGATTGATTGTAGAAATGTGCAACGTTTTAATAAATGTTTTGCATGTCAACAGTATAGTTCATTGAAAAAATATGGATGTAATTCGGTCAGTTTAATCTAGTTGTGAACATTGGCCAAAGATATATTATATATATTTTTCTTCTCATAAAGTTTGTAGACCGTCCGTCTAAGCACTCCCTTGTCAAAGTTGTCAAGGATGGTTTTACGTCTCGGTTTTGCATATGAGACGGTCCCTGTCTTGTCTGATTTGTTTACAATATTGTAAACTTGTTGGTAAGACATGCCAACAGCTCTACAAGTTCTGTAATAAACCCTCTCTACACTAATGAAAGGTTTACCTCTGTCTTTTTAAGCAGAAAAAAACTATAAACCTTTGCAACAATCGACTGCAAATCGTTGGCCATAGTGCACGCTGTGATAAAGATGTGCATGCATGACGGGAAACCTATTTATCAAGACTTAACATTTATATTAATATTTCTTCAATACAGAAAACGATAATTAAGTAAAGTAACACAAACATTCAACATTTATTTGTTTAGGAAAAACGTTAATTCATATTTTTACACCACCTGTATTATTAGCATAAATGTAAAGACTATTTCAGATTTCTGTTGTTGAACTCTGAATAAATCTTAAGTTGCTGTTTTGGTACCGAATTCTCTCCTGTAAACTGCCCTTTAAATGCATGGGGATGTTAAATCGATTGAAATAAAAATTAGGTAGACAATAGGCGAGTTGATATATTGACAACATAGTACATTTATCACCTTTATAAAGATACTAAGGCTAAAAAGCATTTTTCTAGCATTTCCGACAGTACTTTTTTTAGTAGGTTCCTTTTTCGGGAGAAGGGCAAGCACGATACTTCCTACAGAGCATTATGTTTGTTATTGAATTCCATGGCAAACCGACGTAGATTCAAGATCTGTAAACTTGTAAACTTTCAAAGTGTACAAGTATTTAATCACCGAAATATAATGGGTATCCAATGTACAATTTGCCATCGGGAAATGACCTTGTAAACCCGAACATTTTGGTTGAAGCGAAGACCGGTTTTAATCGGTCATGTATTTTACCATAGTTGTTATGCAACTTTAGGAACAGTCAAAACAGTTATCTTGCGCAGATATCCTGTAGTGAGTGAGTGAGTTTCGTTTTTCGCCGCTCTCAGAAGTAGTCCAGCAATATCACGGCGGGGGACACCAGAACGATATCTTGTAAGAATTATACACATTCTTCCCTGTAGAAAACGAGCCGACTCTAGAAACATTTAGCTCTAAATTTCAAGTCACATTCATAACATGCCTGATCCCTGTTTCACACAGCGATCTTGACGCGGAGGTGATCCTTAGTTCCACACTTTAACACAAACTCACAGCAATCGTAGCGTTAAGGTCCCTTGGTGAAACGGAAACAACCTATGATCGTGGATTCAAATCCCAGTTCGACCTGAGTATGTTTCTTGTTTATCCGTATCACACTTGTAGGTTTCTCCACAGAGGTAAACGTCTTGCATAACTTCGGAGTTTCCCACCACTTCAAGCGGAAATGCCATGGTATATTTAGAATACTGTCTAAAACGGCTGAGTGACCGTCAAACTTAGTGACTCACTAATCGTAACAATGATCAGCCTGTAACCCAAGCATTGTGTGTTTTGTTGTCTAACTCCATACCAAGCAATCTTCAAGCTATATGACGACAGTCCGTTAAAAACAAGTTTGGACCAGACACTCCAGTGATTGTCATCATGAGCATCGATCTACTGAACTGACATTCGATGACGTGTGTCAACCAAGTCAGCAAGCCTGACCACCCGGCCCATTTAGTCGCCTCTTACGACAAGCATGGATTGCTGAAGATCAATTCTATCCCGTATCTTCACGGGTCTCTCAGCATTGTGACGTGAAAGATGATGTGATAGTGTTTGATGGAGTAGCGCTATAAATCAGGCTATCGTCATGTCCCTGAATCTGAGTACACATATACACATTTGCCACGATCTAGGTATAATCTAAGAACCACAGCTCGTTAAGTGGAAAACTAGTTTCATCGCAGTGTAAATATTCTAACCGCGCTGTAAATATATTCTCACCGTGGGGAAGATTGTTATTGCCTTGGAAATAGTTCTAGGTAATTGTCTTTATAACTAGTATTTTCTAAAAGTTTATGCAATTCTCATTTGATTTTTCAATGGACATAGTAATGAGTTATTTAATTTTAAGATACACAATTCCGTTATGATAATTTCGGTATTTTGTGTAGCATATTGTCCATGATTTGCTGAGGCCAAGAATTTAAAGTCTAGCACTAGAGTAAGAAAACGCGTATTACACTCAATTTTGAAAACGTTTCAATGTGTTTGTCCAACTCCGAGTACAACCCGCTGCTTTGTAGTGTCTCGATACAGGAACACAAACATTTGTCTTATAGAGCTTGTTATAAAGACTATTCTAAACATTAAATAACCATGAAAAGTTTCCTTGGGTAGTTTTCCTAAGATCTAGAGTTGCGATTTCTCTCAGTTCCTGTTTCCAAAATATAATGCTGTGGCAACTACAATTATCATTCAATATATATCATTGCACAAAAAGCTCAGATGTTCTGCTATATGTAATTTGAATGCGCATGATTGTCATCCTAATTTTTAAACCTGGTACATTATGCTAAAATGTCTCGATGGTTGGTAAACGAATATTGTATCACTTTTTAATAAGAGCATTGCTATGTTCTTGAAGAGTATCCGGCGGACAGGGCATCGTGAGGGGGCGATCTGCAACACGTGCCGCAGGTTTCTATGCGGCTAAAGCCTGGTGACCGGGCGGGCCACATTACACAGTCAATGATCTCGTGCATTGGTAAAGACGATACCAACGAATATGAGGTTGTGTATTATCATCTATGAGGATTTGCGTCTGATTGTATACGGTAGAGAATACCATCTCTATGGCGCACACCAGTCATTGTGCCTCCATAAAGGTCATGCTGGGCTTCGTTGGAATCCTGAAAGGTTTTCTTCTCACAGCCTAGTCGTCAGCAAAAAAGTACTAGAGCCCAGCCCTGGTCTGTCCAATTGATGTGATCGTCAGCCTAATGAAACCGTGCCTGCCTGAAATGTTCCGGTTAGTGGGATAAGAATGCATGGCCTCGGAGACCGGAGACCAACCTTGCTGAGACGATAATGCACTGTCTGAGAAGAACCTACCTTCCGGCTGTCTAATGGAAGGCTACCGGCCACCTGCATGCCGCTAGGTAGCCACACGCCTGACATCTATTCTACCCCAACCTTCAGATCATGTTTGGCTCACAAGTTTCAAGTATGCCTATCCATCTGCTTACATTTTCAGTCGTCATTTGACTGATGACATTTTTTCATATTTTCCAAACTTGAACCCCAGGAAACTTTGAGGAGTATATATGTCGACAGACGTTTTGTCAAACTATTCGTATATGTATAACAACGCCACATGCGTATCGGATTTTCAAACTGAGTCTATGGCTTTCTAGTATTCCAACACACTTGTATTACTCAAAGTTGAGTATTGTATGATTTATATGTTGTTTGCCTGTGGCAGAGATCCAGATTCCTTCAAGTACAAAGTGGGCCCAGCTTGTACTCGATGTGGAGACGCTCTATCCTTCTGTCATCGTGACATGTGTGGTAAGTGTCACCATAAAACATACAAGGAAACGGCAACGAAGTCTTTTTTCTCTATCGCCCCCAAACCGAAACATGACTCATTAACCTATTCGGACAATGACCTACTTTTCTGCCGATCCGAATTTTGTCGTGTGAAAGTGAAAATAGGTAAACCATGGTTACACTGAATTCCAATTTCTTGTTTCATAAGAAAATGGTATGTACAAATGAATTTTAATTTCCAACTTTAATAACGTGGTATTTCTATATTTTATGGCGAGGTGTAGGCAGCATGACCTTAACTAAGGCGTCACAGACTGCCCCTGTTTGATGAGGTCGTAAAATGATTCACAATGCATCTGGCTCACTGGTTACACCTGTTATGTGTTTTTTGCGCTTATTCAGTGTAGTTCTGTAACGCACAATTTGATTGATATAATATCAAGTCCGTATCAGACCGCCAACCTTTTCTAGCGGGAGAGCCTCGTTTTGAGATTTCCACGATTTCCAGGTTTCCGTTTGTCAGAGCTCGCTGTACGACAGAGCACGCTGCACGACGTGTATGCAAGGATTAGAAGGGGCGTGGTGTTGCAATATACAAGTGCTTAGATGTATCAAATAATATTGATTAATAATGATGTATACAGTTAAATGAATTGTTCCCCAAATTCTCGACTGGTTATTGTACTAAGTTGCGCAATAGGACGGGACCCAGTCAACAGGCAACGAGACTATTGTGTAATCAATGTTTTGACTTGCTGAATAACTAATATATTCAACAGTCATATTTTAATATTTACCGAAACATGATACATAACTGAAATATTATGAAATAGATATAGCGCACAGGGAGATATTGTTATTATATTACGGGTCGTCTTTGCAAATTCACCTTGCCATACCGTTTGTTATTGTTGACATCGCTCTCATACTAACTAATGCCTTTCTTTAGTTGCATGCTCGCATTCCGATTACAGGACTTGTGGTAAGTTAGAGTCACGTCACCTAATATTTGTCTCTGAAATATTAAGCGATTGATTACCTCTCCCCTTTTTCATCCGAAGGCACTATAATAAACAACACAAAATCCACGCGGTAAGAATACATATCCTGATAACATGTTTATACTCTCCATTTGTCCTTTTCCCAGATTGTCGGAAGACGTGTTTCCGAGAGGATATGGGCAGTGGAACCCTCAATAGGTCTACCTGTTCTTGCAGTTGTACATATGGCCTGGGTCCAAATTGTGATGGTGAGTACCACTGCCACAGTTTAGTGGAAACTTAACAAGTTAGCCTTAAATCTATCTCGTGTGTATTTGAATTTAGCAACGCAACATGACGAACTTGAATGTGTTAATGGTAAGTATCAAGTGAGTTACACGTGTGCATGGGTTTAGACCCGGGATGGTACATATATTGTCACTGTAGCATGTTTGACAACAAGCCCACACTACGTGCCAATGCTGGCCAAAAGTCGCAATGATCAGGTCTGTCCAGATGTTGCTGGATTAACCTTCCACTTGTAGCGACACCCAGTGAAATGGTTTAATGTTGCGTTCCGCATGCTGTCTTCCACGCATCCCTTTTCCGGGACCGAGTTAGGTACATACTTACCACATGCTTACCTTCAACATGAACATTTATTGTTCAGTATTGGATAGATTTGGTAAATAGTGAGATTCACAGAAAACAGCTTCACCATTAGCCATTAACTGAAGGTAAACTGACTAAAGTTTTATGATCTGGGATTGGTATCTTCAAATTTATGAAAATTAATCAGATTCGTGCGGCTGCTACATTAGAGCTGGAACAAGAGGAGGTCCCTTACACAGGACAGGAATCTAAACATGTTCGTTATTATGGTGTATATTGTTACTTTGACCGCACTAGTTAGTCGGGTGAAGTGAAGTGATGAGGCATTGTCAAGGCTAAAATATTTCTCAGACATGGTTAAAAGGTCAAAAGTACTGTTTAGTTTTGGAAATATACTATTCCAAAAAAGAAACGCATAGGCGATTTGTATTTATAAAAATCTATAAATTACCTATTGTGTTCAAACAATCGTCAAAATATGTACCAAAAGTGTTGATAACATGATTTTACACAATTGCAAAAGTACAAAATCGATTTTACCTGAAAATGTTGATTTTGAAGAGATTTCTTTCAAGGATTAAAAAGGCATCGCCACAACGCAACAGAAATCACCTTCCAGTTGAAATTGTGCAGCAAAGAGCATGCACTGTCTAGCAATAAAAATCCAGATTACTGTCGGAAATTGGCATTCGTTTTGAAGGAGTTTCAAGGTCAAATTACTAGGCCACGTGTTGACTCTGCGACACGGAACATCGCCATTGAAAGAATGCACGCTGGAGATTACCAATCTTCTGTTGCCAGGCGTCTGAATGTTAGTCTGAGCACGATATCACGGCTTGCAGCTCGTCACAACCAAATAGGTATAACAAATGACCGTCCCCGTACAGGCAGACCTCGAGTCACCACTGCAGCCCAAGATCGGAACATCCGGGTACTACATTTGCATGACCGTACTGCCACGGGTGAGAGCACAGCAGCCAGGGTGCCTGGACTTCGGAGGATATCCGGTCAAACTGTACGGAGCAGGCTGAAAGAGATTGGTCTGAGAGCCAGGAGATCCGACGTCGGGACCGTGCTACGTCGTCACCATCGCGCTCAACGTCTCCGTTATCTACAAATATCCACTTGGTTGTATAGGCATTACCTTCTTCTAAACTGGTGTAAAAAGTCATGCACTAAAGTCTATTTGTGGACGAGATATACATGTTTGAAAATACAACATTTTCGCAACAGATTTCCGGCCTATGCGTTTCTTTTTCGGGATAGTATATAATGATATTTTCAGGGGAGGTCAGCTGGAATAGTCTTCACCCTTTGAATCGAAGCACAATAAATTTGGACGTATAGACGTCTGTTTTAGAATGAATACGCGGAACATCTCATGCGTCTATTAACAGGTGACTTCGTTTACGGATGCATGCTTGCTTAGGTCGATGCTTATAACATCAATCACAAGATGAAATAATTTGACATTTAAAAAATTCCTGAGTGGGCAAACAAACAACAAGAAACAAGAAACAGATCATCAAGGCAATTCCTTAATTAGTAAAGGGTTTCCTTCACAGAGGAGTGTCGCAATCCGGAGTTGTACGCTGACTACGACTACTGTGCCACGGTCAGCCGGGAGGACTGTTCCCATCCAGACGTGGGGGAACTGCTGAGACAGTCTTGTCCGGAGCAGTGTGTTTGTCGTAAGTAGCTGCTCATGTGCACTTTGGCCAGTTGATATAGACTGATTTCTGTACTTCTGTGGGCCCTGTCTTGTCGTTACCATATACGCCAAGTACAGAAGGCTGACACTAATACTTCTGTCCTATAAAGTTGAGTAACGTGCCTGGTTTGTCAGAAAATGTGATGGGAATACACGCACAGCTGAAACAATCATGTTAGTCAGGACATTATGGACAAGTGTGGTAGTGTCCAGGCGTGTACATTCATTGTGCATCAAGATATATATGTTCATCTTATGCAGTCTACATTCGGCTCCAAATTTAAATGTGCTATGATCTATTTCAATAAAGAGTAATTGTTACAGCCACTGATATTTCATAGTTAAGGATTGGTATTTATAAACGCAATCTAACCTGCTGCATACTCATCTGGGGACCTCGGTACCTGATGCGAATCACGCCCCAGATTACCTATACATAGACGAAGGGGTACTATTTCCCCTTCACTCTGCAGGAAATACAGATTCGCAGTGTTTTCGACATTTTAAAAAAAATTCCAAAATGCATTTTACCAAAACACTTTGAGACTAATCTTAATTCATAGTCCATACCAAATGAAAGGCAATGGATACGTTCCCATTATTGCGTTTACAAAGCGTTTATAAAGTTTCAATTGAGACCAGATAATAATATTCATGCATTCTGATTAATGTCAAAACCTACACGACAACGCAGAACATGATCTTCAAAAGTGAAAATATCCAAAAGAGCTGCACAGATAAGTTGTTTGATGAGGACAAATATTCTGACATTTTGAGTGATAGAGTATTTATGTAGGATGAACACTCAGAAAGCCACGTGTGCACTCTATGTTATTGCCGTTCTTGTGTATTCACAGGGAAACATCCTAGTCAGACATAACCGTGCTGCCGACTGAAGAGATGAAGCGGCAAGGAATGAGGGTGGAGACTTGCGTCAGACATTGATGGTAACCTTGTTAGGGAACTCACCACACTGTGGGGTATACCTGCTACAGGAGTGTGGGCTGCCCACCTGAACATTTATAGAACTGGCCGGAAAACATCATACAGATGTTTACCTTCTTTATATTGACAACGTGACGAATTAAATCAGAAAGAGTATTTTGGTATTTTTTGTAAGGTTAGTTATGAACAGGCAAAGAATATATTATTATTTTTACACTTTGTACATAATTCATTTCCGAATTGTATTTCACCACAATGAAAATCAAGTGAATGACAGAAAGCTTTTGAGTAACGGATGGAACCAATCGTGTTCACTAAATGTGCAAGATACCAATATGGTAAAATATGAAAAACACATGCTATGTTTTGTTTGGTTGTATGTTACACGTCAGACCCAAACCTACTGATTATGATCACCATGGATGCACTGAGTGTGAGACGCCATTAAACTACTGTGATACTTAGTGCTTCTTGTTTTGTGCCGTGTTCTACACTTTGTTATTGTGACATTGCTAGTTTCACTTTTATCTGTGTTTCATTTGGCTTGCAAGCGTATTTTATATTTCTGTATTTATTAACCAAGGCTGGCTGATATTCAACATGTGTGATATTATATGTAACATGGACAAAACTTACCTATCTCCAGGCGTATGTGCTAATCAATGACTGTAATACTGTGTAAAACAGTGCAACGATGACAATGTCAATAAAGTACTTAATCTTCTATATATCAATGTGATATAAAGTTGTGCAATATCCAAATTTTCTTTTCTTTTTAGCGATACCAGTGTTCATATGTTTTACGATACCATCACTGGATAGATATAAACTAATGTCCAAAAGAAACGATACCAAATATTTGTCAATATATTTTGTGAAAAAGTATTCCTTTTTTATGAAAACATACTTGAGTATCTCCCATGTTCCAAACCAAACGTATTCGATCGAAAAAATCCGGGAACATTTGATCAGTTGAGAAAAAACGCGCACTTTGCCAAAATGATGTTACGTCCCGTAGCGCATATAATAAAGAGAGAGAGAGAGAGAGAGAGAGAGAGAGAGAGAGAGAGAGAGAGAGAGAGAGAGAGAGAGAGAGAGAGAGAGAGAGAGAGAGAGAGAGAGAGAGAGAGAGAGAGAGAGAGAGGTCGCCAGAAGGTTATGCGCGCGCATAACTGTCACCAGGTCAATGCAGCGGTTGCGTCAAACTGGTTGGACAATAGACCGGCCGAGAAGCGGAAGACCACGAGTGACCACGCCTATTCAAGACCCGGTTACTTCATCTCCGGAACCGCTTCATCACGGCGACGTTAACGGTAAGGACGGCACTGGGACACGTCATAAATCGACAAACCGTGTACAGGAGATTGCAGGCACATGGTATCCGACCACGTCGCCCCTACCGCGGAGCGTTCCTGACACCTCAACATCGAGCCAACAGACTGGTGTGGGCCAGGCGACTTCAACGTTGGCAACACCGAGACTGGGCACGGGTCATGGTTTCCGACGAGAGCAGATTTTGCATCTTCAGGGACGATAGTCGGCAGCGTGTGTACCGAAGAGTTGGTGAACGTTTGTCACAGAATTGCATTCATCAAGTCCGGCCACTCGGAGTCGAAAGTTTAATGGTTTGTGGTGGAATCTGCGGTGACGCCAAAACGAGGCTCGTCGTTATTCGAGGAAACCGGAATGCACAGCGTTATCGAGATGAAATTGTGCAACCATTTGTGGAGCCATTCATCCAAACAACCGTCTCGTGGAATCATTTCAAGCACGATAATGCAAGGCCACATACGGAAAGGCTGACTAGGAACTTCCTCGCCAACGCCAACATTCACCGGTTTATGAACCCAATCGAACACTTACGGGACCATCTCAATCGGCAACTCAGATATCGCCCTGCACCTCCAGTCAACCTCCGGGAATTGGAACATTGCCTCCTTGATGAATGGAAAAGCATCCCCCACGTCATCCGACGTTTGACGTCATCAGCCCGTAGACGTGTACTGGCGTGTATTGGCGTGTATCACAGTGGACATACCCGGTACTAACGTGACTTTGAGACGTCTGTTATGACATGTTCCACACTTGCCTCGTCATGTGTGTTTGAAAGGACCCCTCACGTCATTACAGGCCTGTCCTAATGATTGTAAAGGATTGATTGAAATGAATTTTTGTGCACGTGTTCTCAATGAAATATATCAGTCTAACATTTCTGTATCGTGTTGTTTTTCTGTAATGTCCTTTCAAACACGTGGTATCGGGGTTTTTTTGGACATTAGATTATAATGAGTGAGTGAGTTTAGTTTTACGCCGCACTCAGCAATATTCCAGCTATATGGCGGCGGTCTGTAAATAATCTAGTCTAGACCAAACAATCCAGTGATCTACAGCATGAGCATCGATCTGCGCAATTGGGAACCGATGACATGTGTCAACCAAGTCAGCGAGCCTGACCACCCGATTCCGTAAGTCGCCTCTTAAGACAAGTATGGGTTACTGAAGATCAATATTCTAACCCGGACCTTCACGGGTCCATCAGTTTATAATGTATAACTATAACTATACAATTATAAACAACATGACATGGTATGTCTTGCAATACCAGGCGAAAAATACTAGAGGGAAAATTCATCTGCATAAAACAGCAACACAAAACAAGAAGACACTAAAACCTAATTGGACGCGATATTTTAGAATGATGTAATAACCTAATAACCACGTGTCTCGCTTCGTTAGGATTACCCATCATCATCACATGTATAAAATTCCTTAAGTATGAATTCGCCACACATTCAGTATGCATGTGCGATCAAGTCAATTCAAACACAGAGCAAGGTCTTTTACTCGTAAATAGCAATTTTGTTGATAGTCAAACTTCGTTAACATTATGCCACGCCTGTCTGAAAATGAACGGTTGCTTGCAATAAGAATACTTGAAACCGACATTGTAAAATTCATTGTTGTTTAGCCTGTTGTATGTTCATCGCAGCACCATAGAGTCACTGAATTTATCGTCCTGTTTACGCGTGTTATTTTTAACTTTCTGCATTCTTTGGCTGGATCCCCCTGGTGTCGATAGGATCTGCACATCACAGCACAGTGGTCAGTCACATCCACTCAGCTATAAGTAGCACAGGTCTTTATGGCTGAAAGCAGCTGTACGTGTCATATATAGGGAAGACAATGTAGTTTCAGTGGACGTACAAATGACACCGAGTGAGTGAGTGAGTGAAATGAGTTTTACGCCGCACTCAGCAATATTCCAGCTATATGGCGGCGGTCTGTAAATAATCGAGTCTGCACCAGACAATCCAGTAGTCAACAGCATGAGCATCGATCTTAGCAATTGGGAACCGATGACATTTGTCAACCAAGTCAGCGAGCCTGACCACCCGATCCCGTTAGTCGCCTCTTACGACAAGCATGGGCTACTGAAGGCCAATATTCTAACCCGGACCTTCACGGGTCTAAATTACACGGAATGTTCGTATTATCGAGTATGTTGCAAGCATCTTGAGTTTTATAAACTATATAGTATTTTCTGACATGAAAACGCACCATTTACATAAATACCTGCAACATAATTGAGTGAAAGTGTGATTTCGAATTTTGGTGGTATTTACTGAAAATACGCGTCACAAATATACTCTGCAAAAAAAAGAAACACAAAAGTGTTTTTTAGATGTATACTTTATGTATTTTATAAATAATTAACAGATAAAAAAATGGCAAAAGTTATTGTCATGGCACACGTGAAACATTCAATGTCAAGGTGAAGGTAGTCTTTTCTCAATATATTGTATGGCCCCAAGACAGTCCAGAACTGCCCGGCATCGTCGCCACATGGAATCAATCACAGTACTACTTGTGGTCAGCGGAATGGTCACCCACTCTTCGTGATCGTAGACGTTATTCAAGAGATAACAATGTACTATGGCGTTTACATCACGAAGCCTTGAGGGCCGTGGCAGTACTTGGATGTTGAGGTTCCTCAAAAAAGGCCGTTGTTGGGCTTACCGTGTGAGTTCATGTGTTGCCCTGTTGAAAATGAGGTTTGTTTACTACATAATGTGTAGAACGTGCGGCCCTTGTGCCGTCAAATTGAACTGAATGTGTACTAGGTTCGTTCTACCAATATAGGAGATAGCGCCCCGCATCATTATACTGTGCATTTATCCAATATGCAGTTTCGAGCACAAGGTTCCCCACGACATTTGTAAACACAACCTTTTCCATCGGTATGGAGAAGCAAAAACGAAACCATCGCTGTTGTGGCCGTATTCCTTGAGACAATTTACGCCGTAGCCGACAATGCTGATCAGTCAGAATGACGCCTCGAACCGGTCGTTGTGAGTGAATACCTACGGCGCGTAGACGGGTCCTCACAAGCTGTCTGTTCAGAAATTCAACGCAATCCTGGTGTTGCTGCAGCTGTAAAGGTTTTCGTGGTGAGTCTATGACGTAGGTGACGAACCCGTAAGAACCTGTCCTCTGCTACAGTTGTACCACGTGGTCTACCTGATTTTGGTAGGGCAGGGTTGACCCCTGCGTCTGATAACGGTTCCAAAGTCTTGTAATGGTGATACGTGGAAACTGCAGTCAGTCGTGGCATGTTTTCACTTTTCACTGAAAACCACCCTTTTCATAGCAATACATGTTGGACATACATTCCATGTTGGTTTGTTTGGCCGCCAAACTCCCGCAGGTTGCGTTTTTGCGTTCTCCAACCTTTCGGTATTTTTTGGGGCGTACTTTATTCTAACCGCGCAAATCACTCATATTTGGTTTTCATTTTGTGTGAATATCAGCATTTTTTTTCTACTTTTGCGTTTTATTTTTTGCAGAGTATATAATTAGAAAACTATTGACATCACTTGTTAATCAATTGCGATATTTTACATAATGAAACGTGATAAAGATAACAGAGATACAAATTGGCTGGCAAGTGGGGGTGAACAAGTTTATTGATGCTGGAAAGCATGGACGTGGCAAGTCCCATGAGAGGTTCATGTCGGG